CATACAGTTCAATGACTCTGGACGCGTACGTGTAGCTTCGTATGAGTCCGTGTACATACAGTTCAATGACTCTGTGCGTTTACATGTAGCTTCGTATGCATGAGTCCGTGAACATACAATTCAATGGTTCTGTGCGCGTTCATGTAGCTTCGTATGAGTCCGTGTACATAAAATTCAATGACTCTGGACGTGTACGTGTAGCTTCGTATGCATGAGTCCGTGTACATACAGTTCAATGATTCTGTGCGTGTACATGTAGCTTCGTATGAGTCCCTGTACATAAAATTCAATGACTCTGGACGTGTACATGTAGCTTCGTATGCATGAGTCCGTGTACATACAGTTCAATGATTCTGTGCGTGTACATGTAGCTTCGTATGAGTCCGTGTACATAAAGTTCAATGACTCTGGACGTGTACATGTAGCTTCGTATGCATGAGTCCGTGAACATACAGTTCAATGATTCTGTGCGTGTACCTGTAGCTTCGTATGAGTCCCTGTACATAAAATTCAATGACTCTGGACGTGTACATGCAGCTTCGTATGAGTCCGTGTACATACAGTTCAATGACTCTGTACGTGTACATGTAGCTTCGTATGAGTACGTGTACATACAGTTCAATGACTCTGTGCGTGTACATGTAGCTTTGTATGCATGAGTCCGTGTACATACAGTTCAATGGCTCTGGTCGTGTACATGTAGCTTCGTATGAGTCAGTGTACATACAGTTCAATGACTCTGTACGTGTACATGTAGCTTCGTATGAGCCCGTGTACATACAGTTCAATGACTCTGTGCGTGTACATGTAGCTTTGTATGAGTCCGTGTACATACAGTTTTAATGATAATGGACGTGAACATATATAGCTTCGTATGAGTCCGGGTACATACAGTTTTAATGGCCGTGTACGAAGCATTAGGATTGATGCTGGGACATTGCTACGTGTAGTTAGTAGGTCTTTCACGTCATTAATTGGTGCAGATTTACATGGAATGAAGGTCATGTATGAGTTCGGCTCTTTGGCATGGTGCAAAAGAAATCCAATCAAAAGATACTGCGTTTAATCTGCAGGGTAGGATGTGTCAAACACGAGTATAACGCTGTGTCTTCACCCTGTAGTTCTGAAGGATCTTCGTTAATATGCTACGGAGTCTTGGCATACTGACAATCCTGCAAACTTCATATTACATTATGTAAGACAAAAGTACGAGGTAAACGTAATTAAATTGTACCAAGAAATAACAGAATGTGCCTTGACAGGATAAGTTATCATCATTATTATAACCAGGTTTCCGTGTACAAGGCTGGCATTTAATTCAATTAATATAATTGTAAGTGTATTTAATATGTATTATGAAGATTATCGAGGCCTTAAATATTTGAAATATCTGCTGATTTCGCGTTTACCAAGTCATCGCAAAACAAAAGAAATAAAGTAATTAAATAAATAAAGGCACTTGCGAATATATTTACACGCCCTGGGGAATTGCTATGCCAATACTAAAAAAAATACTCAAAGAGTAGTTTCAGGAGTTCAAACGCGAATTTCCACTTGATTGCATCGCACAAATGCACTATGTGGTAAAAGTACGATATGTTAAAAATGCACAGTCACAGCTGGTACGTTATGTTCGGTATGAGATCGGAATACGCTATGTGTGCTTGTTCGGGTAAAAACACAGTCAGGTACATATAGTAAGTTAGGTTTATTGGTAGATGGTTTTTGTGTGTTTTCCTTATTAATTGAACAGATTAAACGTATATATGTACCAAACACGTCTTTGGCTTTGGACAGCTCGGACCCCTGAGAATGTCTGCCAATGTATACACGTGAGGGGCTGTAAATGCTGTAATTGTGTAAACGAGGCAGGTTGAATGAGACTTTTGTTATCCTGTCCTCGTATTATCATAAACAACAATGACTAAATGGCGCGTAAAGTAGCGAGAGGTGTTCCGAATGCGTGAGATTCGCCATCTGCGTCTGGCGTACACGTCTCAGATTGTAAACACATTACCGATGTGAAACAAAGACCGCTAGGCAGCGAAACGGAAGCAATGTTTTTTATGAACTAACAGATGTCATTTCCATTTTTTACATCATCTAAGTACGATCACGGTTCTGTTGAAATACAATCCGTAACAATAATAGGTTCTCACATTACAATAAACATCCGCAAAGAACCCATACAAATTACATGTTTGGCATTCCAGGGAAAATAGACGCGAGACGAGGATATGAATTATCAATTATATATGTTTAGCCCAGACGGCAAGAAATGGATTTTTAAAACAAAACATTTGGCCATGAATCTCATTGATATACATGATAAAGACAAGTGTTTTCCTATGATTCATATGGTAAGTTCAGGCGTAAGGGGAAAAAACTTATCCTGTATGGGACGAATTAGCACTCATGCTATTTCTATCAGCTCACTTGTATAGGACGAGTTCGTTTCTATGAGCTCACTTAAATAGGACGAGTTCTTTCCTGAGGTTTTTATTATAAACTCTCTTCAATGCTTGTATGGGACGAATTTGTCCTGTATTGGACGAATAAGATATCATGCTTTTTCCATCAGCTCACTTTTATGGGACGAGTTCGTTTTTCTTTGATAATTATATTAAGCCCTCTGCGATACTTGTATGGGACGAATTTGTCCTGTATTGGACGAATTAGATATCATGCTTTTTCTATCAGCTCACTTTTACGCGACGAGTTCGTCTCTGTGATAATTATAACAAGCTCTCTTCAATACTTGTATTGGACGAATTTGTCCTGTATGGGACGAATTAGATATCATGCTTTTTCCATCAGCTCACTTTTACGGGACGAGTTGGTCTCTGTGATAATTATAACAAGCTCTCTTCAATACTTGTATGGGACGAATTTGTCCTGTATTGGACGAATAAGATATCATGCTTTTTCTATTAGCTCACTTTTTCTCTTCAATACTTGTATGGGACGAATTTGTCCTGTATGGGACGAATTAGATATCATGCTTTTTCCATCAGCTCACTTTTACGGGACGAGTTGGTCTCTGTGATAATTATAACAAGCTCTCTTCAATACTTGTATGGGACGAATTTGTCCTGTATTGGACGAATAAGATATCATGCTTTTTCTATCAGCTCACTTTTTATGGGACGAGTTCGTTCCTGAGGTTTTTATTATAACTCTCATCAGTGCTTGTATGTGACGAATTTGTCCTGTATTGGACGAATTAGATATCATGCTTTTTCTATCAGCTCACTTTTATGGGACGAGTTTGTTCCTGAGTTGTTTTTTTATAAACTCTCCTCCGTGCTTGTAGGAGACGAATTTATCCTGTATTGGACGAATTAGATATCATGCTTTTTCTATCAGCTCACTTTTACGGGACGAGTTCGTCTCTGTGATAATTTTAATAAGCTCTCTTCAAAACTTGTATCGGACGAATTTGTTCTGTATGTTATTTCTTATGACAGTGTGTTTTCAGGGGTTACCGTTAGAACAATTTTCTCATCACGAGCACGTACAATGTAGATAAAATCGAGAGGCCACTGCAAATGGACTCGAGTTTTTATCCACATGTGAGCGATGAGAAATTGTCGTTAGAACACACATGGGGGCACGTCCTTAAATGACCTTAGCTATTATTATTAGGACGTTAAACAAAATTAAACAAAACGAAACCAAATCGTCAGAACAATTTTCTCATCACGATCGCGAGCACGTAGATAAAATCGAGAGGCCACTGCTGATGGACTCGACATTTTATCCACGTGCGAGCGAAGAGAAAAAATGCTAGAATAACAAACTGAAAATACTGTATGATAAACTGTTTGGTTGAGATTCAAGGTCGGTGATAAACGTTACAAGTTCTACGCGGGGAATACCACGAACCCCTTATATTGTGTAGAAGAATATTTCCAATCAATTTTCTTGTCATTGGCTTCTCCATACGCACTTTACGATTAAAAAGATAAATGATAGAAAAATGACAGACCGCGAAAAACACCCATTTTACAGTAATCGCCAAATAGTTTGTTTAGTGGAATTTTGTTCGTTGTATTTTTTTTGAGTAACCAACTTTTAGTTAAATCACATGGATAAATGAATGAGTCTGATGCTACCTCTAGACGAAGAATTTCATTTCGTTCGCATCGAAGCCGACGAAATATTTTTCAAATTCTGTAGACTTGTAACATTCCCTCCAATTTGGAAGTATGTATATATTTTATAGGTGATCTCGCTGTGTAAAAGTAGTAAAAAAGCTCCTTTGATCCGTACAGGTCAACATGTTGAGTCTGGTCAGGGTTGTTTGGTGTTTGGCAAGTCGACAGCGTAAGAACATTGATTAAATCATGGCAAATCACTAAAGACAACAACAGGTCTGGATGGTTGCCTCGTGTTTTGCTGCCAATTATCGAGAAAAGATGAAAGAAAGAATGTGATTCGTGAAGACCCACTTTATAGACGAAGCTGCAGACATAATGTTTTACACTGCATGTAACATTTCTCTACAGAATCTAGTTGTAACCCAGTTGCTATTCTACAAGCCGTGTCGGATATCAGTCGGTTATTGCGCGCCTTCACTACTCCTCCTATCTCTGTGATGGATGATGACGATATGATGCTCACTGATTCGTGTCAGGATGGCGTTTGTCTTTGATACATGAATTAATTGAGCGTTTTGCTGACATATCAGGTGGAACGTGTGTACCATTGTCGGAAACATTTAGTAATGTCACATTGATTACGTGTAACATCCCTCCATTGATCAATTACAAACAGTTAAACTATAAACCTTCTACCATTGCCCGACAGAACTACAGTGGAAAATGTATGTATATACAAACTTTATTTTACAAAAATTATGAAACGAGTTATTTCAACTTATATTTATCACTCTTGTCGGCCCGGATGTTACCGCGCGAGGGGTCTCAATGTGGGATAAATCTACCAAAATATGAAAAATATAAATTTCAGTGTTGAATACTGTTTCGTTTCCTTTGCAGGGTCCGTCAATCACCTCCCTCCACATCCGGTCTGACATCCGGTTCCGTTTTGCCACCACGACCGTCTACAGCTCCATAGCCAACGCCGACATTGCCGACCATGAGACCACATTTGACGTCACGCTTCCGGACGCTGCATACATCACGAACTTTACATTGTACGTTCCATTTCTCTAGTCTTGAACACTAAAATAACGTTTTTAAGTTCTTTCTATATTTACAATGACCGTAATGGTTTCCGACTTCATGAATGAAAAAATCTCCGTCCATTGAATTTTCTAAATCTTTACTTACGCTTGGGTCAAATTTGTTAAAGCTTTACTGATTGCTCAATGTTATTTATCTTTCCTAATGGATGGATTTTGTAAAATCTTAGCTAATGTTTTATTTAAACTTCATCGCAATATTGTACAGGTTTATTTGAAGTCATTAGCGAGGGGTTATTTTTACCTCTTCAAAATATTGTTCATATCAATTTGTCGAATCAGCTTCACTTCATCCTTTTCAAAAATTAGAATACACATCAATTATCTGCATATCAGTATTTATGCATGAAATAAGAGACTATTGTAAAACATAAGGATTGGATTTCCGCTTTGTCTAGCTGAAGGACTGGGCCCACTTGTATAAAACATTTTAACTCTTGAGATTTCCTCAAGTCTAAGATTTCCCATAGACAATACATTGCTTGAGATTTTCCTTTACTTTGAGATGTTTTATACAAGTGGGCCCTGATTAGATAGACTCCTTAGAAGTTAACCGAATTTGTATGTTTTCATCTTATAAGCCCTTACCAGTACCTCGTAAACTAGACAAAAATCCAGATGGCTAATCAGTTTCATCTCTATATTTGGTCTTGAGCTGTGCATACAGGAAATTACAATCACAACTGCAATAAAAAAACAGATTGATGTGCTTGTTTTCCTATAAACTGTTACAATGTATTTGTTTCATTTTTCATTTTTTTTATAATGCTTGGAATACCCTAAATGTCGAACTCAATTCCAATATTAGATAAAGATTTGGGTAAAATTGTAAAAACATTTCATATTATATGTACCTGATTGGAAATAGTAATAAGTCATTAGTCCGGCTGCCAATAGACTGAATAATAATTTCCCAGTGAAGACAATGACGTATAGCAAAATTAATTTGCTGTCATCTGTTTATTTAAAATCTGATCAAAATAATACTTTTTGACTCCCCGTGGACCCCTAATTTTGAGCATGATGGCCATGCGACAGTAGGTCAATGGTTAAACTGTTTGATATTTCCACCAATACCAAATATTGTAACAAAAATATAATTTATGATTTACAAATCATTGAAGTAAGGGTGATAACTCTAACACAAGTCATCGGTGTACGGTAGCATGCAAGTTTTCTTCAAATCATGTTCCCATCATCTAAATTTCAAATATCTTTTTTACAGAGGGAGATCGATGAAAAAAATGCATTGCTCCATAAATGTATGAACGATGTACATTCTTTTATATAGCTGCCCACAGAATGACTGTTAGGGCAAACTATATTAATCCCATTGCATACTTTTATACCTCTGCCCATAGGGAGATTCGTTGGCAAAACGTATTGACCCTAAAACTGTGTAGATATGTTTCATATCATTTTCCTCGCGGAAACACATTGCCAAAATATATACTTTGTTTTATATACCTGTCCACAGGGAGGTATATCTAACCGATATATTCGGTTTTTAAATCTCTTTCCACAGGGAAATCGGCGGGGTTGTGTACCCGGGGGTGATCAAAGAGCGAGAGGCTGCCAAGTCCCAGTACGACAAGGCCAAGAAAAAGGGACAGTCCGCTGGTCACATCGCCACCAACAAGTGAGAACCTCACGATAACGAGGTTGACTTCCGGTCAAACGACCTCTAGTCGTACTAGTCTCGTCCAATCAGACTCTTGTTGTCTGCGCAAGCTATGACGAACAGGGAGACTCTTGTGATCAAGCGTCTGGTTGAACAAGACTATAGTCGTACCTGTCTCATGTATCTGTAGTCATCAAACGTACCGTGAAGCCAGTGTATAAAAAGTATCTATATAGTCTGATATACCAGACATATACCAGACTAGTTTACGTTGTAAACTTACATTTGTAAGTTAAACCTTTTGAAAAATGTGTCTGTCCATATTCATACATTTTGTTCATTATCAATAGTCTTAATTTAATTTTCATGAACATATTTGAGTCAACGACACTCGATGAAATAGTATCATATAATTTATAGTAATTTACAGAAGATAAAGCAGGAAGAAATATAAAACAACCTCAACTTAAGTTCATTATTTTTATGGTTAAAGTTTCTATTTTACATCAAACGATTATCTACCACAGACCCAGAGATACCAATCGATTCAAAGTATCCCTAAATATAGCAGCGCAAACCAAGATCAAGTTCACCTTGACCTACAACGAACTTCTCCAGCGTCGACGCGGCAGCTACGATCACACCATCTACATCCGGCCAAGGCAGATCGTCAACGACTTCCGGGTAGAGGTTTACATCCAGGAATCTCGTCAAATCACGTACCTCCGAGTCCCGCCATTACGAGATGATGTTCTCATTAACTATAATAGTATTGGTATGCATTATTTGATTTCGTCACTTGTTTGTTGTCTTCTATACCACCTAAAAGGGAATAAAATTGAGTCTGTAGATATGCATTCCGTTTGGCGGTATGTTTGAATTACCGATAGTTTCGTACAGAGATGGCAAATTGAAGCATTGGCAAATATAGTCGCAAAAATAACGAGCGCGTAATAAGCATCAATCTTCCATCTATCTATCCGTCCGATCTTTCAGCAATGAATATGAAACAGCATTTAAATCGGTTATTTTAATATTTTTTTTTTAGATTCTCTATAAAAGTGCATTACAGGAAAAATAACGTGTGTATTTGTTTGTTCTGGTCTTTTCTTCGGATAAGAAAATCTATTGACTTGAAGTTTGCTTTCCCAATCAAACAATTCCGTATCCCTATTCATTAACACATAGTGTAGTTGTTGAAACTGAAAGAAAACAGAACAAAGCATTGTTTTTCTTATTGTTTGATATATTTTGACAGAGCAGAATCGGCTCGCGCAGGTCAGCCGTCCGTCCTCCACGTCCGCCCATATCGTGTATGAGCCGTCCACCGAGGAACAGAGCCTCGTTTCCCAGCAGGGACTTTCCGGGCTGTTCGTGGTGGAGTATGACGTGGACAGACGGTTGGACGCAGGTGACGTCCTGGTGGGTATATGGTGAAGGCAATTTGTCATCTCCCTTTATTTGTTTTAACATGCGTTCAACTAATTAGCAACGACTGTTTTAGCAAATGCTGTTATGGTCCTATAACACACATCGCTATTGATGACAAACTTAATAAAGCCCGGTACAAAAGAGATTGATGACTTTACAATAGCAAAAATGTTGTTATAATCTCCCAACAACATTTGCCTTCCACGTTGCAACGGAAGGATGCAGAGCAAATGTAAATAATATTCTGCATTTATGAGAATATCTTTTCTTAGTGTATACCAACGTGTAAATTTGTTTTTTGTTTGTTTATTTGTTTTCATTTTATAATTTTGTCATCTCTGTATTACGTTCAGCAAAACTAGATGTTATCTTTGTCTGGGACAAAATACGTGTCTCAGAAAAAAAATCAGCTAGAAATGCATGAACATGTAGTGTGACATTGGAACTTTTTAAAACTATGTCGTATGCTGTGTTCAGATCTTACTCCAGTTTAACATTACTAAGAACCCTTTTGCGTATCCGGTTCAACAATGACACGAAAGACATGCTCATATCTGAACCGAGACTGACCTCGGGAATATTCGGAACGTGCATATCGTGGGGGTTCAGACGTGCCTGATTCCCTCTGACTGAACTAAAATGCTGACTATTGCTAGTCTGCATTATTTCTGCATAAAATAAAGTCGATTCACATGCATATTTAAGAAATTAAGCGCACGCGTGAAAGAAGGGCATGCTATTCTCGATATATTGTTATTAAATTGTCACAAATCTTCGAAACTGTGCAGTTTTAGCTCTGCCTAAATCTTTGACACAGTTCCGGTCCAAATGCCTTCGTTTATTGCGAAATACGTTTTCAACAATTTAACCTTTCGAACCAGGATCCACGAAAGCGACCTTATTCTATTTACATGCACGTGAAGTGATAGTCTTTGGAAGAAAGTGCTGTGGTTGGTTTATATATAGAAAATTTACATATGCGTACTCTTTCGTAAATCAAGTACCATATATGAGTAAATGGAATATGGTAGATAGGCTAAAGTATTGTTTTAACGACAGGTTGTCAACGGATATTTTGTCCACTTCTTTGCTCCCCATGGGCTAGACCGCATGCGCAGACGGATCCTATTTATCCTGGATACCAGTGGGTCGATGGTAGGTACGAAAATGAAACAGATGCAGACCGCCATGATTGAAATCCTCGATGATCTACACGAAGGGGATAAGTTCAACATCATCGAGTTTGACGGGAACGTCCAAAAATGGCAGGATGGCATATCGGCTGTTCCTGTCACACAGGAGTCCATAGAGTCAGCCAAGCAGTATGTCAAGGGTCTGGTTGCTGATGGCTGTAAGTTTACAAAAGTTTGGCAAAGTATGTCAGCTTGAAGGACGCACTCTTGTTGATCAACGTTGAAAACTTGTATAAAGAAAAGAAAAAGTGAATTGTCGGGTTACCTAACTGTTATGGTCAGAACTCCCCCTTGAAAATACTGAAATACGGTGACATTATGAAAAGTCAGTGAAAATCGGGGGGAGGGGTGGCCGGGCGGGGGGATACTGAAAACAAAAATCTCTGAAATTATCTTAAATGAATCTATATTATAAATAGATGAATAGACATTGCAAACGAGAAGTGTTTAATTCATTGTGAATGTTACCGCATGTCAATGACAATGTTATGTTTATACAGGGACGAATATAGATGGAGCTGTGATGCAGGGTATCAAGGATATCCTAGCGGACAGTATGGACGAAAGTGTCCCTATTGTCATCTTTCTCACGGACGGAGAACCAACCACGGGAGAAATGAACGTCAACAAGATCCTCGCCAACATCAAGACACGTAACACAGAAGGTGTACCCGTGTTCTCGTTGTCTTTTGGCGATGGAGCAGACTTCGACTTCCTAAAGCGGCTGTCTTTACAAAACAATGGGTTCGCCCGCAAAATATACGAGGCTTCTGACGCGGACATACAACTTACTGGTTTCTACGACGAAGTCTCGTCAGTTCTCGTATCTAACGTTACATTCCGTTACTTAGATGATACTGTGATAAAAAATACTGTTTCAAATGTGATATTTCCTAATTATTTCGCGGGGTCCGAATTAGTTGTGACCGGTCAGCTGATGGACACAGCAATGACCGATATACCTGTCTCTATATTCGGTGAAAGTTCGAATGGTCTGCTGGAACTACGTTCCTCTGGTAATACTATACTCAACGACATGGAATTGACGTCATTTGATGACGACTCGCAGCCGACCGTGAACTTCACGGACATCGCCGAAAAAATATGGGCGTATGTGAACATTAAGCAACTATTGGACGAACGACTGAGGGAGACCAATCAGACCATACGGGACGAGATCAAGGAGAGGGCCACACAGCTAGCACTGAAGGTAACCAATCAAATATGCTGACATTTCATTTCATCAAATATTGACAAGATGTCATAGTCAATTGGATAGAATAACAGGCAAAGCATATTTAAATTCTCTCCGTCAAATGGCCAAAGTGGAATAAACAATGAGACAAAATATTTTAGACATGTTGGAAATAAAAAAATTAACACAAAATAATTCATATTTGTATGCTGACATAAATGTATACATATTAATGTACCGTCGTTACACATCAGCATATCTCTTCCATAAGCACTTAATTTTTCTCTCACTCCCGACTCATTGGATAAACCGGCTAGGAGTTAGTAAACAGTTTGGTTACCCACTAGGGGTTAGCCCCCAGTACGTGATTTCATTGGTCAATCTTTTAAATATGAAGTCAAGTAACAATGCTTTACGTCATCATCTTTTATTGTGACGTCATAGTTCATCGCAATTGTGTCCCCGATCTGAAACAGGGATAATGTATGCCGAAGAGAAACAATGGTTTAATAGATATAGTATGTGAACGTTGTCGGAGAAAAGGTCCCCAAACTCGTGATTGTTGATTATCATGTTTATCTAACTTTCGATTGCCTGCCACCAACAGAGTGTTCTCAACTTGTCGGGTCATTTTACACATAGTACAAAATATAACTCATGTAATTCGAGTGACGATGCTCTCTTGTAATATCACAGTTGTATATATGAAATGTTTGAAAGGTAAACGTACAATCCTAATTTTGTTTAATTTTTAGTACAATTTTGTGACTCCCCTGACGTCTATGGTGGTCACGAAGCCAGAACAAGAGACAATGGTCGACCCTAACGGTAAAGGATAAGCCAACATAAACACCGATTATCTCCCTTATCTTTGAATGCAACTGGTATTATATCAAACTAATGTTATCCAGTGAATAATTGACATTCATGAAATGGAAAAAATGAAATAAACAGAGCCTTTTAACTAGAGTTTGATTTTTCCCAAAGCATTAAACGGGAGGGGAGATAACTGTAATATCAAAGTTTTTCAGCACATCTAATACAGCCAGCCTTTCGTCTGAAGAAAATGATCAGTATGTCCAATACTCAAAGTATGGCAATGCAATATAATAATATCCAGCACTAAGTCATATACGGTTAAATGTATAACTTTAATTCCAAATATTAGGTATCCTAGTTTGTTGCCCCCCCCCCCCCCCCCCCCCCCCCCCCCTACCTTCCATACGAAAATTCTCTTTAAGTTAACAGGTACATGTATCATATAAATTACCTAGTTTTGAAGCAGAAATCGTGCAGTTGGTGTTTGTTTACTGTTTACGTCATGCAATCCGCGAAGCTTTCCTGGCTGGTGATCAGTGTTCCAATTGTCATGGTGTGTCTGATTTTGCAATTTCGAGAGTAAAAGAAAAGATACATAAGAAAACCTTAATGTAGTGATTTTACTCTATTTTTGAAGAGGTCGAGAAAGCGAACCAGTCCGCCTGGCAGTCCGGTGCCAATCCTGGCCAGGCTCTCATCGGCAAGTCGCCATCCTTCGGTAAGATGTTGACAGAAAACCGCATTCACCTTGAAAAGAATCAATTGCAAATAGCCAGCCGTTATTTGGCTGATGCTGGCAAGTCGAATATATTGATAGAAAATCGCCTTCCTTTGACCGAATCATCCTCTTGTAAAAAAAATGATGGTACGTTTCCACTCCTCTCGTGGGCTGTTGGTGGTAAGGTGTTGATACATGTAGCATGTCACATTCCTTTCTGGCATGGCCCTTTTGTGGTACGTAATTGATGGCCAAGTAGCTCTCCAGCGGTAAGGTATTAATGGCAGGATGGCCTTTCTTTGATATGACATCAAAACAGAAGCAATCCTTTGGTAAGACATTGATTACGAGTTGCTTTCCTTTGCTAATAATGTATTTGATGACCAGATTGCCAAAAATTGTTTTGGTAAGAAATCAGTATAATTCCATAAGTGATGCCGAATCAATACTTGGTAAGATCGATAATGGTTTACTCTGAAACTCCAAATCACACGATCCCCATGTTGTGTGTTTTATTTGACGTTGTAGCTTGACTAATGATGTTAAATTTTATTTGAATCATGAACACGAGTTTGTTTTGTCTTTGGATGCCTTGAATGTACAATTGTAATTCAAATCAGTGTGAAATTATCGGTATGGATAGGTTCGATAGGTTGCTAGCTAAACGTTACTCGCCATTTCACGTCAATAACGACGACTGGATGAACTGTTTCTGCCATAAGACTGTAAGAAGTGTAAGAATTTACACACCTCTAAAACAATTTTGTTTCAACAATTGTTAAACAACCCCCGCCATAGCATCAACGATATGTCCCTGAAGGACGATATATATATGTTGTGCATTGTAGTTTATTTTTTGGATTATGCCTACTGTATTTATAAACAAACTTTAAAGGTGAAATCACCTTTACGTGCGTGTTAAGAAATCTCCATATTGAAAAAGAATCAAATAAGTCCCATATTGTTTATCAAATACTTTCCACCTCAAATTTCATTATGTGTGAAAGCACTTACGATGTGGTTTGGTGTTATTGACTAGGTTATGATTGGCGATCTCACGATTTTCGTTGTGTGTGTCTATTTTAAAGATGATCAGACACCTTTTGGCCTTGTAAATCTGTCATACCGTATCCTACTATCTACGGGGCTTTAAGTATATACCTACTATAAAATATGAATGGAAAACAAAAAGATGTTTATCATCTTTGGAAACACATTTATATATGTCACATTAAATCGCTGTGGTGAGGAAGTATACGTTTAGAAGTCATTTAAGTGCGATGTCCGTTATCATTGTTAACCCGACACAGGCTCAGTCTGACACATGATATGTTCTCAAATGCAAGCTGTAATGCTGTCTGTGACCGCGAATCAATCTAAACATCATTCCGTGATTTATACTTTATGATAATGGGGATTGGTAAAATGTTAATGAGGAAACATGTACAAAAGCTATATTTAAATGGTACCAATTATCAATATATTAAAGAGGAAACCACAGCTAATTTGAATTTGAATTTAGAAATATTATTTAGAAAGAGCATCCATGTTTTTGTCTTCATCACATATTGCGAAAAGCGTAGAGGCAATCTTCGGGCTTAAATGACCTTTACTGTCACGGTGACCTTCTTCTGGTAGTAAATACTGTACCGTTATTTTTTTAACCTTTGTTCTCTCTCTGACATGTTTCAGTGGACAGTGACCCCCACTTCATCGTGCATGTGAAGGGTCTGGATACCTCGGTGTGTTTTGACATCATGGGACAACCGGGCGATCGACTCAATCTTGTCTCCGACGACGTGTCAGGTACGGAAGCAGCAAATGTTGGCTGTACATAGGGGTAAAATATGCTGTCTGTTCACTAGAGGGCAGTATATATGTTGGCTGTACTCCGACGGGCAGTATTCTTCGGGCTATACTCTAGGGGGTAGTATATGCTCGCTGCACACTAGGGGGCAGATTATGTTGGCTATTCACTAGGGGGCAGCACTTGTTATCTGTTCACTGGGGGGCAGCACCTGCTATCTGTTCACTAGGGGTAGCACATGTTGGCTGTACACTAGGGGGCAGCACATATTGGCTGTACACTATGGGTCAACATTGCGGTTGTACACTTAGGGGCAGCAAATGTTGGCTGTACACTAGGGGGCAGCACATGTTGACTGTTCACTAGGGTGCAGCACATGTTGTCTGTGCACTAGGGGGCAGCACATGCTGGCTGTTCACTAGGTGGTAAGCACATGCTGACTGTACACTAGGCGGCAGCACATGCTGGCTGCGCACTAGGAGGCAGCACATGCTGGCTGTTCACTAGGTGGCAGCACATGCTGGCTGTTCACTAGGTGGCAGCACATGTTGGCTGTGCACTAGGGGGAAGCACATGCTCGCTGTACGCTAGGTGGCAGCACATGTTATCTGTTCACTAGGCGGCAGCACATGTTATCTGTTCACTAGGGTGCAGCATATGTTGGCTGCGCTCTAGGGGGTAGCACATGCTGGCTGTTCACTAGGTGGCAGCACATGTTGGCTTTGCACTAGGGGACAGCACATGTTGGCTGTGCACTAGGGGGCAGCACATGCTGGCTGTACGCTAGGCGGCAGCACATGCTGGCTGCGCACTAGGAGGCAGCACATGCTGGCTGTTCACTAGGTGGCAGCACATGTTGGCTGTGCACTAGGGGGAAGCACATGCTGGCTCTTCAATAGGTGGCAGCACATGTTGGCTGTGCACTAGGGGTAGCACATGTTGGCTGTACACTAGGGTGCAACACATGCTAGCTGTTCACTAGGGGGCAGCATATGCTGGCTGTACGCTAGGAGGGCAGGCAGCACATGCTGGCTGTTCACTAGGTGACAGCATATAATGGCTGTTCACTAGGGTGCAGCACCAGTTTGCTGTATAGTAAGCGGCAGTTTCAACTATAACAATATCTTAATAACTATGTGACTTTTTCCGATAAAATGACATACATAAATAATATTTCGTTTGGTTTTAAAGTTGATTGAGAAGATTATCCTGCAAGTTTACATTGTTTTTCAAACAAGGTATATTTTATGGATAATAGTATTCTTCTAGAGTATCATTACATTATGCAGATACAATCACTGCATGTGGGGATAGTAAAACTAATAAGTTGTGTGCCCTCATTTTCATTATCCCCAACCCTCACCCTTGTTTCTTGTGTTAAACTGTATTGGATTTTGGTATGAACACACGTCCTCTCCTGTAGGTATCAGCGTCACGGCAGCCATAATATCAAACAAAGACACGCCAAGGTCACGCAGGAAGAGGAAGGGCGGATCAGCTGATCAGATAAAGGAGACGACAAAGACATATTTAGGAGAAATACGAATCGAGGGACTGAAGACAAAGCTGTCCTTCACGCCTACAAACTGGACCATGGATGGCCAGCGATACGCGTGGAAAAGCTCAGAGGCTTTGAAATCTCACAGAACGAAAGTTGTGACTGACGGCACTGGTCAGCAGATCGCCATTATCTTCCCGAACAAAGTGCTGTTGCTCGTCATACGCCACATGAGGACCAAGTCACAACTGAGGATGGGCAAGGTGCCATTTCTAGGCTTTTACATCGTGGAAGAGAAAGGATTTTCGTGGCACACACACGGGATTCTCGGTATTTATTTATTTTAATTGTTCACTTTCACAGATATTGCCTTGTACTATAGATTACACACTTTATGTAAACTAAATTACAAAATATCTTATCCAACTGATATAGCGATTCATATGTATCCCTAACAAAAACGTACATTCTCCTAGAATACGTATTCTACCTTATTTGCAAGGAAATGGTACGCTAACCGAACCTACAATTCATCAGTTCATTACTATTTGAATGTTTATCACGGGAAATTGTCAAAGAAGTTTTGCAACAGGTCAAGACCGTAATATGTCCTCCATTTAGAGGAGTGCTTTATCTTTTTAGTATCCTCGATATCCAGGGGTTACGGTAACTTTCGCTCTCTGCACACTTGGGATATGTCGTAACAAAATCGAAAGCTCAGCGTGCACCACATTGTGGATGAGACGAGAAGACTAGTTTGGTCCTTTGATGTACACCAAAAGAATCTGTCGGTCGCGTAACAGTAAAATTAACTGGCTTTGAAGTCGGGTGTCGCTCCTCTGTGATCTGTTTTTTTTTACCTGAGACCAATCAAATTGCCTGCCGTGTGCCTTCCATTTTGCTATGACATATTCCAGAGGTGCAGAGAGCGACAGAGAGCGTAAACCTTGGAGTATCGAGGATGCCTTTTTAATAACTCCAGCTAAACACGGTTTCAGAGTTCGTTCAGTACCATGGTGAATATCTAACACGGGTAAAAGTATCGACTGGTAGGACTTTATTACAACATATAGAGGACAAGTTAACACTAAGTAAACTGTCAGTTGGTGACAGAAGCCAGAGCTAATGTGATTGTTTCTTTAGCTTATAAAAGCTAGAGGTCTATATTGAATTGATATTTGAGTTTTGCTTCAGGATTGACGTATTTTATTAATATTGTATTCAATTCCAGAACAAGATAACTGATTAAAGATGAACTCAAATGAACATCTGGCTTCCTGAAACGTACATGAAGAAATGTTACCGATACATCTGTCATCCATTCTTTATATATTAGTATGGTCAGAAGCAAACTAGAATATGCTTGTGAAATATGGTATCCATATCGAACTTCTTTAGAGAAAATTTCTTATTTTTTTATGCATTAAAGCAAAGATTGACTGTGATGTTTTATCTTATTAAGATATATGTGATTTTTTTAATTTACCACCTCTTTTAAAACGCAGAATGTATTTAGATCGTTTGTTCCTTTTGATGTGTGTAAACAGTATGTTTGACTGTCCATATATCTTATTGAACAAATCAACATGTTCCATAATTCATACACAAGATGTAAACACATTGTTGTTTGTTATAATATGAATGTCTCAATGGATCATTAACATAAAATAAATTCGAATTGCTCTTTCGAACTTGTTAACTACCTATGTACATTATCCAGTCATCGATTCTCTTTGTAAGAAGTATACACATTCATGTTAGTTACGCGCAATTACTTCAACATATACCTTATGTTTTAACACTGCCTGTGACATTACATCAATGTGTGAATGGAATATTAAGTTATAGTAAACTCTCCAGCAATTCGCTGAAGCTAGGGTGAACAAGTACTTGTAGTTGGGCCTCTAGCGTCACCGACAAGTCCTAGAAGGACGAAACAGCTGTTTGATGCAGTGCATGTAATTCAATTTTTGGCATCTTATATCGATAAACAAATTATTAAGGTGCTGTCACATTCAACTTTGTTGCATTCATCTTTATAGGACACGCGTGCCAACGTGTTTAGTAATATCGCTTTATCTATTTTAGGTCAACTTCTTCATAGACGCATATCATTGAGGAAGACCAAGAAAGTGGATGGTAAAACCAGAGGCAAGCTCTTGGTGAAGGGAAATACCAAAAAGACAAGGAAACTGACAGCCACTCTTGGGACGCGTCTCAATCTAGCTACAAACAGGGACACGCCTTGTTGGATGGTACAGAGGAACGGCAAGAAACTTCTGGACGGGAGCTATAGAGACTATCTTGTGCGCGACAAAAACTCTACTGTCACTTCAAAACGCAAGGGACGCCGGAAACGAATTATGAAGAGGATAAGCGGCTCACAGTGATCCGGATTAAAAATGGCGAAATTGGAATGATTTGAGATATTAAGTACTATGTCGCAAGGCAAATATTTTGTTTTCTTTTAGGAAACTTTCTACAGTGTTAATATTTTATTGAAAAATATTGGTTTATGTTTAAACGTTGGCCATATAATATTTTCTTGATTATCATGCAACATTGTGCAATATATATGAATGGTAACAACTGACTTGTATAGTCTGTGGACTATAGACATATACGTCAATTGTAATGCCATTGCTGGAATATTAATAGAGCTTCGTGGCAGTTTAATATATATTGTCGAACACTCATTGACAAAATACATACACGTTATTTATGTTTTTATATATGATGTTTAGTGTTGCAGATGTTGTACCAGACAATGCATCAATATTTCATGTTTCTGTGAAATACATTTATTTCATACTTGTTCATGAGATGTATCTGCTTTTTAACTTTGCCTGTAGAAAACGAATTGAATTTTTGCAAATTTAAAGATTTAAACAGATATAATTAAAATATATTGTAGATGTGAGTTTGAAAATATATGATCATTACGTAGAAAGCATGGTATCGGTAAGACATAATTGTACAAGTGCAAAATTTTGCGTTTAAACTGACCGTGGTATAGAAATTTTCGCGATGAGACTCTTTGTCGTGATCGCGTTGTGGAAATTTTCGTTTTGGGAATGGTTCTGAAATCAATATAAATTCTATAGATCTATATATAAAAATATATAAAAGTTCACGTGGAGACCTTTTTCACGCTTATTTATTCAACTCGAAAAACGCAAAGGTTTCCACACTACAAAATTGTCAAACTTTCCTGTAATCAATAATAAAAATATACCTGACCAGCAGGTACAATTATATTAGAAAATATATACCACTGCGGACACTGTTATGAACTTAATTAGAACTAGAAGTCAATAATAAGATTGAACAACAAAACCGAGGTGACACGAAAGGAAAAAAAAAAGAGATTACCATCATGAAACCGCACAAATCTGTGTCTGAAAACACATTCAGTAGGAAGACAGAGAAAAAGAGAAGGAAAACAAATCAAAAGATCGCCGACGTTGGTCGTATGGAGCCATCTGTATGATGTGTATACACAAGATATGGTTTATTTTCCATAAGACAGACATTTATTTTAGGTCCAATGTATTTACAATATATAAATATTTTATAATCCTGTTAACATCATCCTTGTAATTTATATTAAAGTTATGTATAAATCAAACTTAATGAAGCGGCCGGAACACCAAAGACAAATATATATTTGAAAAACCCCTGCATGTAAACATCACTTTCGTCCGCGTCCTAGGAAGAAGTATACCTCATTGACAGAAGGAATACAGCACACCTAATTGACAGAAGTAATACAGCACACCTCATTGACAGAGTAATACATCATACATCATTGACAGAAGGAATACCGTATACCTCATTGACAGAAGTAATACAGCACACCTAATTCTCATAAGTAATACAACACGCCTCATTGACAGAGTAATATATCATTGCACATTGACAAAAAACAATACAGCATACCTCAGTTACAGCAGTAATACATTATACTTCATTGACAGAAGTAATACAGCATATCTCATTGACAGAAGTGATACAGCATACCTCATTGACAGAAGTAATACAGCATACCTCATTGACAGAAGTAATACAGCATACCTCATTGACAGAAGTGATACAGCATACGTCATTGACAGAAGTAAATCAGATTTTTTTTATAAATGAGAGAAATGATAAATTATATTCGCTGCTAGTTACACAATTTATGATGCATAGACATTATTTATAACCCCGCTTGAAAAAGGGGTGTATGTTTTGTTCATGTTGTCCGTGTGGTTCCGAACCATAGTTCCCTTATATTCAAATGAAATTTGACAAATCTTCTGCTACACTTTTAGATAAGGCTATGTGCTTTCAATTACGTGTATCTATGAATTTTTGTCGTCCTTCATAATAAGGTTACTGTGACCTCTATTTTCCTCCCCATTGAAGAATATAGGAAATCATCCTTCGGTCATTATTTCCTTGCCTTTTATATGTAGGTTCATGAATGTTTTTGCTGTTGATGAAGTTGTGTTGTTTACCATGAATAGATCGCTATACCGGTGTACAATCCGTGTCTTTTCATTTCCACAATTTGGGTTTATACATTTTCATTAGAGAATTCTTAAAACATATAAATTATACAATTGTCATCAAAGATGACCGTAAGAGAAGAACGTGTGATTGTCCTATTAAAATTTGATAATAATAATAAAGTATGCCAAAATTTAATTACACATCATCATTCAGCTGTTTTATCGTTCTAGGCCCAATGGGTAATGCTAGGGGCCATAAAGGCAAATATCCAAAATGTTGTTAACTACAATTGAAACCAGAATAGGAGGTGCATAAATTATTAGATTAATTTTAAAACTACAGGGGGATACGTTATTTTCAAATTAATAATAAGTAAAGAGCGTATATTGTGAACCATATCACTTCTCTAAAGAGATTATTGTGGCTATCAACGTTACGGCACGCCTTGGGGGCTAGGAAAATCACCAGCAGGCTATTTTAACATTATATTTGCTAGATGATTTTACCTATAGAAAATCATCTATCTGTTGCAAAATTGGAGGGAAAGCCAGATCATTACGTCGAAACATGCATAAAATTGATTTACGACAGACAAGGAAAACAATTGGACCTTAAAGACGATAATCAAAATCAACAAATGCAAGTATTAAATAAACCATCTAAAACACCAGAAGAGTGAATAATTTGCGGAAAAGTGTTTCCTGCTTCATAATTGGAAAAACGTCATAACAGTAAAAGGACCACACAAGACCTAAGCCTTAGCGTATATATCTTCATTTAAAAAAAGGAGATTACCAGCAAAATAAAACAAAATAGAATAGATGATTAATACTTCAAAGTGTCTCCAGTTTAGAAAACTCTGATAACATACACGAATAAAAGTCCTGCATCTGACAACAGAATAAATAGTAAAATCGCTTCGAAGAGAAGGCGAATACGTGTTTTTCTTATCAACTTTAATAAAACAAATTCCAAAGACATGATATATACGATATTTGTCCTAGCTTTACGCACATTCCATCCATTAATGAAGAATACGAAACAATTTGGCGCAGAAGTAAGAGCCTTCAGACATAAGAACATATGAGACAAAATGCGTCGTCGTTGGTTACCAGACATAGCCCATTAAAAATGTCATTTAGAAAAATAAAAATAATATGAGAAAATCCAAAGATAATGCAGTATTTTAAGAGGATGATAATTACATAACTTAAAAAAGAATAAAAACGGTTTTAAAGGTGATCAAGAATCAAATGATTTAAATAAAAACTTGTTGTGGCACATATTTCTATTTCAGATGTTCCGTAATCTGAAATATGGCAAGAAAGTCATATACAAAACGCATTATCCATTAAAAACATCCGAAGCAAACTGTGTGTAACACGTGATACAATCAACACAGATTCTCAAAGAATCTGAATCTTTGGTGATTGACAGGACATTTTAATATGATCGATCGGTAGAAAACGTCTGCCTCTGACATAATTTACAATTCCGTGCTACAGGTGTCATGTGTTATGACGGAGTGTGTTGTCTTTTACGTTTTTTCACAATTAATTGATATCCAATTAATTTGTCTTCACTCAGTGTGATCCGTTGCACAAAGAGTGTCTTTTGTCTATAAGATAGGTGTGGCATTAGTTGTACACTCCCTGGTATAAATAGATTTTTACTACATTCCTTCACGTAGCGTGTCAGTTGTACGAAATATCATCTTCAATCAATATTCTTATCACAATAAAACTATTAACGGCGTACATTTGCCGCTATAAATCTGTCAAGTTGGCTAGATTGTTTGAGGTCTAATTATGTTTAAATCTTTTATCAGAACAACAATCAATGACCGACTGTCAGCCAGGTAATAACTTACAGTCCTGTCTATATAGACAGGCCACTGGAATCCATAGACTATAAAGTCAGTCATATTCAACTTAATTAGCAGACCCTTATACCAGAACATATACTTTGTACTGAACGATTCTTTGGATTTATCCATGCTTTATTGCATTATTTTTCTCTTTCTTCTTTTTTTCTTCCTTCTTCTTACTATTCCTTCTCCCCCTTACGTTTTATCATGCTTTTGATAAATATACCAATTTGCAAACTTATCAATAAATATTCTTATATTTCTGAAATAAATAAGAGTAAAAAAGCGTCAACACAAAGAATCTAGTTAAAAGTCAAATAAAAAGACAATAGGAGGATCCGACATGACACCATATTGAAAGAAATGACACATGTAACACCTATGATATTTGCAGAGAAACATGTAGATCACCAACGACAATTTAGGAAACTTTAATACATTTGTCTTTAACCATAGCCGATGCCGAGATCCCAGAGTTTAAAAACAGTTCACGACGACGACCAGATCTTAAGTGTAGATCGGTGACTTCTTGGAAAAAACAGCAAGTAGCTTTACTTATAAATGGATGCATTTATTTAATGATCCACTATATGTAAAAATGACATTGGGTTATCAACTGTAATAGCAGGGATGATGGCATGTAACACTAGACTAAATAATTCGGTCATTACATTAGACTAAAGAAATTGGTCATTACATTGGTATAAAGCAATCGGTCATTTCATGGTTATAAATTGATTGGTCATTACATTGGTATAAATTAATTGGTCATTACATTGGAATAAATTAATTGGTCATTACATTAGACTAAATTAATTGGTCATACGATTAGACTAAATTAATTGGTCGTTACATTTGTAAATTTTTATTTTCCATTCCATTGGACTTAATCTGTTTGTCATTACATTGGTATAATTTGATTGGTCATAACATTGGTATAAATTGATCGGTCATTACATTAGTATAAATGAAGATAGACCTTATTAAAACAATGATGTGTCAGTTTTCACACTTGCCACATCCTGACATTCATTTGATGGAGTTTTGTCCCTTGTAATTTAATATGTATATATATATACTGTATATTCTATACAGGATTTTACTGACTTTTCTAATAATAAGGTTTCTGTATACAACCTAAATAATGGTACATTATGGCATTTACACAATACCAACTTTTCTTGTATGCAAAATATAAATTAACAATATAATTATGGTTTATTAGTTTATTAAGTTTAATAATCAATGGGTAGATGTTTGTACACGGCCATTAGCCATACACCTCCATCTCACACAATCTTAAAACAAAACATAAGTATGGTATACTTTGAACTTGAGGTATTACATATATTAAGTAGTAATTGATATACTATAAAATCGTGGCATATTATAATCAACAAAACATTTCCGTAAAAAGCTGTCAGAGCATATTCACGTCGTTAAAGATTTTCTCAATATTATAATATAGACAAACATACTATAAACGATGACCATTCATATATTATACATCATTTTCATTTTAAGATCAGAGTAATTTAATATTCACATAATGCTGACAATGACATAAACTATAAACATATACCAGATAAATATAAAAAAACAACGAAACAGATATGGGACTTTAAAACGTAATCTGCTATTGCGAATTCCTTCTGAAATGGTACTGCATACCTCAACACTTTCGGTCCGATACCTTACAGTGCTTCAGAGCTTATTGCATGGTTTATTCTTCACTATGAACAATGAATTAATCGATGTGTTAATGAACGATCATGAAGATTTTATATTCTTGGCACATGCGATTTTCAGATAAATATAAGTCAATTACTTAATATATGATTAGCTAAATAAATACATCATCTCATCAATGGAAAAGTAAGGCTTCTGTCCCCTTACATCACGCACAGTATATCAGTGGTTTTTTTTTAAAACAAGGCGTCTTGTGAACTCATCACCTATATAACTGAACGTTCTGTCGAACTTTGTTGATATGATGTCAGTAATAATACTCCAGTGCCATAGTTATAAAATATGTGTTAATAGGAACCTACTTAATTGGTTGCATCTATTGTAATATATTTCATATTGATATAAATTAGGACAAGTCCCTTATGAAAGTACGTTTTGTGTGTTGTCATTGGTGATTTATTGACATATGCATGATTTGAATAATTTATAGTAAATCATTTTCATTAAACTTGAAAAAATAAATTAAAATTAGTGACAATATTCTAGCCAAACATTAATTGTCTCCTGTAAGCAATATAAATGTCGTCTAAGTGGAATGAAAGTTATATATCATTTGAAAATATTCAAATTTGTAATTAGCATACTTCATTCATGTATTCTGTCTTGTTAATTGACCTGGTCACCACAATTGAATGACATTCACCTGACCCGGATTGTGGTTTATCGCCTCGATAGTTCCGAGGACCCAGTGCTGTCAAATATCACAGCCCTGCAATCAGAACCGTCAGAAAAACTCCATACGTATTCATCTCTGGCGTATCAGCTTAGCATTTGTTACATAATTCATGTGAAACCAAAACATAACCTAAATGTTCGCATTAATACATCAGTTGACCAAGTCCGTTGCACATAAATGTTCTGTTTTTATGAATCGTGAGTTGTATAAAAGCTGATATCAATCTGATGCTGTTGACATATCGCTAAAATATAAATAAATATATGCATATATAAATATATGAATGTAGATTTTTCGAGTATTATTGGCACTAACTATTGTGCATCTTAGGTATCATTGTTGAAACCGAGGTTATCGGTTCATTCCCAACTGTTGTTTCCTGTTGGGGAAACAATAGCAGTTATTGATAATTCGTTGTAACTTATCCAACTGCAATACAAAACTGTTCCCTCTGTCTCTTGCATTCTTGCCAAGATGAATATTCTGATCTTCTGCCAACACACCAAACATGCCAAAAGGTCAAATCTCATTTCCTAGGATTTGTGAATATCCGGACAAAAGCGTTTCTCTGAAATCGTGTGTTGTGTATCATGGTCAGTTGTGAACACCGGGTATAAACAGTATTTGCCGATGTAGGTTGAAGCTGGCTCAGTATAACTTGATGTTAACATACTTTAAATGTAAGCTAGCTGAGAGCGCCAAAATGTAACTGGTCTTTGTCGATATTTGCGATGCCTAGCTGTGGACATCCGATGGAAGCTATGTCGGCCGATGTATGGCACAGCTAGCTAAGATCACCCGGATGTTATCGGTATTTGCCGATGAATGATATGGCGAACTGTGGACATTCGTGTGTGAACGGTATTTGAGGTGCACTAGCTACTTCAATGATCTTTCAGAGCTGTATGCTGCTGCAAAGTTTTCCTCCAATAAATGTCAGTTTGGTAAATTCTTTGAAGGGCTATTCATACAATCGCATCTACATTGCTTGACACTGAGAAACTGTAAAAAAACAATGTAATTGTGATTGTTTCTTGCGAGACAAAATTTAAAGCAGTGTTTCACAACGTTACATACATTAATATTAAGTTTGCAATTGCAGGCACTCCTCAAGTATTTCTTAAAATATAAAAAATAAACATCATTTACCGTGATCATTGTCAACATTTTCAAGTATGCGGTACACTTTTGTCATATAAATAACTTTTTGACAATCGTCGCGATACTAACCTCGTCAAAATATCCATCAAAATGGTCCATCGCTTGATAGGGGGAACCAGCAATCGTCAATTTACAGTCACGCTTCCGAAGGGCACCTGTAATAGTGAGGTGTATGTTAATCATTCAGCAAAGAATATCATAACTAACACCATAATACTGTTGGCATTGATGTGTAAATCCTTTTACATTTTTCTTTAATCCTTTCCCATGAAAAATGATACACATATCACATTTCGTTCTTTTTCTTTCTTACCACGTATAAAGGGAAACCGAAAAGTAGTTTATATAATTCGATTAATATGCTTACCTATCATTCCCGTTCTAGTGAAGACTGTTTTGTTGTTGACTAGTAACTTAAGGGTATTATCCTGTAGGTATATCACGACTTTGTACCAGCCATTCCTGTCCTGGAAAATAATATTGTTAGCATATTTATTAAACCGTCAAAATACCAAGTTATTTATATATATCTGATTAACAAAAATCAAAGTTAGAATAGAAAATAATGAAGCACTGAGATAACAGTTAGGGGCAAAATACATATTCCATAGTGGTAATAAACAATGCTTAAGGACGATTATATATAATAAAGCACAGCTTCAATACAAAAAGATGGTATTTCTATTAAGTAATGTCAAAAACGACGTAATAAATGTGGTGAATGTGTGTTAACGTAAAATTACACATCGTCAAAAACAAAAAATTAAGCAACAACGTCAATATTCAAAAGGATAAAATACCATAGCTACAATAAACATTGATCAGAAAAATCGTATCTGCAAACAAGGATAGCTTCACAAACCATAATGTCAACACAATAGGACAATATATACAATAGTGGCAACACAATAGGACAATATATACCACAACCTCAATACACAAGGACAATATATACCACAACTTCAATACACTAGAACAATATATACAATAGCGTCAACACACTAAGACAATATATACAATAACCTCAACACACTAGGACAATATATACTACAACGTCAATTCACTGTGTAAATATATATACAATAGCGTCAACACACAAGGTCAATATATAACACAACGCCAATTCACTAGGATAATATATATACAATAGCGTCAACACACTAGAGTGATCCCAACGCAAACGAGACGAACCTAGGGACTAGCCTAAAATCTAAATATTATGCTTTAAACACTTTCAGATGATCCTCGCGCAACCTCCATTTTCATCCGATTGTATTCTGCTTTCTTTTTACACAATTTTAACTTATCATTCCATAAGAATTTATTACACAATTATTTGTTTTTCCTCTAAGCAGCGATTCCTTCTCATGAAACCTGTTAATGCAGTACTCACTCTATTTCCTCTAATATTTTTGATGACTCGATTTCCAATTGTTTCAAATGAAATCCCGAATGTCTGGTCGAAAGGCCTGAAGCGGATCTCCACTGACGGTCTTATCTTATACCTCATAGACGTTGACGTAGACCAGCATCCATTGCTCACAAGGACCATGTGACGTCTCGAGTTTATGCTGAATCTGTGTATCTTAAAATTAAATGCAAATCGCACAGTGTCAGTGAGATCGTTTGCATAGAACGACTCTACTTCGATTGGTGACCTGCGTATAAGGGCTGATCCACCCTTTGATCCGTTAATTCTGTTTGTAATCCGAATGTGAGAGTTCCTGGATAGTGTCAAATGACCCCCGCTGTCGTCTTTGACACGTATGTCCATCGTAATGTTTGCAACAACAACACACTTGGATATCTCTGGAATGAAGAACACAGACATTTGTTTATCTTGACCCAATGTGTAAGTATACATTAATGCATCAATATATATTCATAACGACAACCATTGTGTTTAGGAAGGTTATTTTATTTTATTTCGTAATCCGAAACTGAATGGAAAGAACAACTTCTTAAATTTCTTTTTTGGTTGAATGCGTTTAATCCGTCGACTATTCAGAATCATCGATATCTTTTCGATGGTACCAACAATGTTGTCTTTCGTGATATTAATTACCATGATGTCGTTGGGTGAATGGTATTGGTTGAAGATTTGGCTATATTAAAAAAGCATTGGGATATGACTGTATTGAAAATGTATAAACCAAAGTATCATTCATGTTATTTTACTAAAGTATGATTTTGAATATGTTAAGTGATTTGCCTACTTACGTTTCGGTACTGGGTCCGTTTTGGGAATTTGTATTGTGGTCTGGCTTTCAATGCTTGGTCCGTAGTTGCATTTACACGTTTGTTCTGAGAAGAGCCCCCTGATAAACACACTGCAAGAGTAATCTATCCATTCTCTGTTGACAAGCCTTTGGTACATCCATGGTCGTTTTGAGTCGGGATGTTTGCGGTACTCCCCACACATAAGATCCTTCAGGGACACGACCGTCGGCCAGTCACAAGCACAATTCGCTTGGTTCCATACTAACGTGGAGGCGCACGACTGGTACTCGCCTTCGAAGTGATTAGGTGTCCGTGCTATTTCAAACAGTCTTGGATTTGTTGGATGAGGCCTGTGCATGCAACCTGATTGATATAATGGCAAGACATCGGATTATTTACTAGTTTACATTATTTACTTATTTACAACAAATCGAAATAACAAGTACCCCTTCTCAAATAATGAGCAATGAAACAGCATTGTAAGTATGATATATTTTGAAATAATTAGAATACTAATGTTGCCCTCTGTTTGCTTAAAATATATTATTGCATGTATCAGATATAGAAAATGTAAATGAAAGGTTAAAATTAAGCTGCAAATAAGTCCAGCGTTACCTGGATCAAAAGTCGATGTTGGCCGCAACGTCGACCTGGTGACACGAACAGTTGTGGATTTCTTTGTGGTTTCCGGTGCGTCCTGAGGAAGGGAGGGAGTTGTTGAGGTAGAAGTAGTAACAACAGGAATGGAATTCTGAGGGGAAGCACCAACAGCTCTTGGATGCCTAATTACGGAGGTAGATTGCATGGTGTGAGTGGCCGGGGCGCCTGATGTGAAGTACACAGCCATGGTCAAGAGTAGCACTCCCATCCCGATCAACGTCAGTCGGTTAGCCATTATTTAGCGTCTGAAATTCAAATATGCAGGTGAGCATGAATACATATATTCGCTAGTGCATTTTAACACTCCAAACCCCACGATATGATAATCATGCATTCATTCAAAAGAATAAATAGGCGACAAACCTCGTTTTTCCGTGGTGCACGCAGCAGATACGTAAATTAAATTGATGCACACAGCACTATGCACATTCCAGAGTCAAACACATGCACTGTAACAAAATGTGTATCTACTCTGGATGAGGACATTTATGCTGACGCTTCAGTTCATCTGCTGCGTTGTGACCCATCGTATTACAATCACCTAAGCTATGTCGCAGCTGCCGGGAGATCATACTTATGGCTATGAATAATTCAAATGATACATCTTCTTTTCTTTTGTTGGAAAGTTTAATCTCTTCTCATTGACAGTTTGATTTAATTAAGTTTGAACCTTGGAGAACCCAATACCGCCATTAATAAAAGTAAAAGTAGGATGAGCTTAGTACAACAACTCCATAAAAGGTCAAAGTGTACTTACCATATGCAAAAGTCAAGTGAAAAAATGTATCATAACCATAAATATAGGTTGTATTCGAGATTTAATCCTGAAATACCTTAGATTGTTTTACTGTTGGATATTCATAACAAATGCAAATTATTGCCACGAGGCAACTCCAGTGCAATTCATTCTTGAAATTGATTTAAATTCCCACACATAGGTTAAGCCATGGAAATAAAACAAGTTCATATTAGTGACATGTACATTACATGTATACAAGATATCGCTGCTTGTTGCAAACAAAAAGCGAAAATGCGAGAGTGCAAAATGCGTAATCTCAGGAGAATATATAACACACATATAGATATTACAGCGCGTATGATTCACTTCTTCCTTTTGTTCCACTCTGACAATAGGTTTATGCAAGCATTCTTTTAGAAAATGTCTGGTATATCAACTTAGATGTCTTAGCGGTAGGATGTTTAATCTACAGTTCTACTAATGTGAAATTCCGTTAACGCAACTGTAAGATTTTTAACTTTAAATGATCAACTAACCATTTTACAATTTTTTTCTTTATTTTATTTTTTCGTTAAAATCTTCTTTCTACCTTATATCAAGGCAAATGTCGCGGTTATAACCCAATTCAAAGAATAATATATATTTGACAAAAAATCGTTTCTAAAGGAACGTAACCAGTCGACTGATTCATATGATACAAGATTCCTTTGAAGTGATGAGTATAATATATATATTATAATATTGAAAGTATAATTAGTATCTATTTGATATATTTAGCATTATTACTGAAAGCTGACAATACTTACAAAACACTAGCGTTTACTAGCCGATTATAAGGTAGCACTTCCACTATGAAAAGGCGAGACTTCCTTCCACTTCTCGTTATATCATATATCAGCTGACCCGGTACGGTCAGGACGCCATATAAAAGCGTGCATAACACTCCAGAACGTGTTGTAGTGTCATTTTATAGCTTAAGTCTTAAATTATCTTCTAATATATAATGACCTGTCTCCCGTGTTGGTGATAAATAACAATCGTAATTAACTCTTCTTTTGTTGGTAATAAAAACATTCTAGCCTTTCTGTACGTGATAGATTGACTTTTATTGTGTTAACGGAGGGATAATTAACTTCTGTTTGTATGAAAACATTGAGGTATCTACTTGCATCTGATATACAAATATATATGATAATATGTTGTAAATATAAGTGTTATCATTTAGATAAAAGGTTTTTCTGTCACTGCAATTTGAGATGATAAACTGCAATTTTGATCCAGGAGGCACGTTAAGTTCGATAATATTTTTTTCAAATATGATTTTATAAATGGACGTAGACGATTACGTCATTTCCTTTCATTTAATAATAACAAGCTGTTTGTACTATAAACTCACGTACATCTCATGTGATCAATATTTGTGTGTTAGTTGGCAGGGAGACTTTGTTGCCAATGAATATGCTTGATAATATTGATTCAGACTTAAATAAGCAATAATCAATAACTAATAATTAATAAAAGTTTGAAGAACAGTCATTCAACATTGTTCATAATATTAAAATATGTACCTGTATTTATTATTCGCATAATTAATGCTGCATCAAAGACATTTCACGATTTATTTATATTTCAAATGTAAAGATATTTTGATTGAATTAATACGAATGCATTTACGGATTCTGTCCTGTAGCAACACTTTTAAGCAATTGCAATGGAAAACTTATACAAATATAGAATGATTTAAAAAATCACATTCCTAACTAAATAACGTTCAATATTTCAAACGAATGTAAAATGGAGTACATCAAAAGAATAGACAGTCGCCGATAGGGAGTTGAGGCGCCTCATGTTACACACGTGATATTGTTATAATGGTACACTAAGTATGAAAAGCACCATAACAGAATTCTAAGATAATTATGATCGTGAGCTTTAAGTAACGTGAAAATCACTCAACTTCAATTGCATTTAATCTAACGTAGCGATGAAAACTATTTATCTCTATTCACAAACGGTGTTATTGCTAATAATTAGTTTTTAAAACATTGATTAAATTTGAATATTATCATTAAATAATATGTTAAAATTGATAAGGAAAAAGTCATAATTCTCATTCATTCAAATAAATCTGATGAAGGAAACAATATTTTTTTTAAATCAAAGTGAAAAAGATGGTCTTACCTAAGGGATATAATTCCATGAAAAAAATCACTGTGATAATTCAATATTTAATTTTCATATATATCTATTGGATCGACCTGCTGTTAATTAACCCACCCACGCATTCACGGAATGCTAAGGTATCGATATACGGCTATAAAGCAATGTCAGAACGTCAATCAGGTCGTGTGGGAATGTGCACGTACATCACTAAACGTCATCCTGCGCATACCGCGGCATATCAGGCCAACATAGCTGGTAGTTGTTTAACTCATTCACCCCTATATTTTCAATCTGAATTTGCCCAGTCTTTGATTTGGTAAGGTTCAAATGCGACTTCAGGGGTGAATGGGTTAAGAAAGATATTTGATTTGAATATTATGAAATTCACATTTCACAGACATCTCTCATCACCACCAGTCTAATTGTATAATGATAAATCAATACATACAGATATTAACTATTTATAGGTTTTTATATGATCCATCATCTTCTTACGGTTGGTTATATAAAACTGAAGGTTATGAGAGAATATCTCACTATTGTAAGGAAGTGAGAGGTTAGTTGACAGCATGCTATGGTTTATTGGCCTTTTCGGCAGCCTCCCCCGTCTTTTTCGGCACGTACAGAATTTATATCGATACATCCATCATTGCCCCTCCCACACGTTATTAATATAGATAACCAATCAAGATTAAGTTAAAACCTGTATACAGAGTTTTAATGGTGTTAAGTGATTTTCATTTCAGGTTTGCAATGTAAACATTGAATTTATTTCGATTCATATAAGTCAATGATACATGGTATGATAATATTCATATCGAATTGTACGGATATAGTCTTTTTATTTTATTTTAGTAATTTTGGTTATTTAACAATGTCTCGCATACATAGTCCTATTCAGCGATAAATGCCAAATAAACCTAAGCATGTCTTACCCCAGCATACTACCCCACATACATGCAATGTACCCATACCATGATCTCAGTGATACATTAGTCTCACCGCTTCGTTTAATTTCATAGTTCAGTTGAACTTCAGTGAACCCCAAACAGAACACGGCTGGGAAAACAGGCCAGGAAATTGACATGTAATTCAAAGAGGTACTTTTATGTATTCAACAATTCAACTGCATTTCGGGTTGATTGGCTGTTGGCGTTGTTTCAATTTTCTTATTTGGATATCATTTTCAGAATGATTTCTTTTTTTAACTTATTTTTAGAGGGGACATTACCAGAACCTCCGTTTTTAGTCTAAAATATTTTGAGTATGTGTTTTAGTCTGCTTGTATTGAGCGCTTATCCCACAATTGCAGCCAAAATACCAAAGTGTCCTTTTCGGGATACAGTTTCATCTGTTCAAGAGCCAACTTGACCCTAATAGTATTTCGCGGTCGATTTATAGATCCACGTGCCGGAAACATTAACTTATAATAGAAACTTCTAAGAAGATGATGTCTATTTATGAAAAATTGGCAAACATTTTTGGAATTGATACCATGGTATGAAATACATAAATATTTAACTGAAAGCGTTCCGTTTTGGGTACAGTGATATGTATGTATGAACAGTAATATACATACTGAAGAAGCCATAGAAGGCAGAAAGGCCTAGCGGACGATCTGAAAGATTTTTGTTTTTATTCTATATTTTCCTTCGCAAGGACTTATTTCTTTATTTTCTACAGTAATACGTATATAAACAGGTATTCACGCATTTAATAAAAAGGTACATTACTGGGTATTTTATGCCGGTGTATTTGTTGAATGGTCAAGCAATTGAGCTCTCACGATTGTTATTAAAAGTCAACCGGATATGCGCAAGCGTTGTGTATCCTTTATCAGTAATCGCAAAAAGACAATGTCGTAGAGGAAAGCCGGGATTCCCGGAGATAAACCACCAAAGCCAGACAAATTTTACCGTTACATGACCGCGAGATTCTTCTGATGTATATCAAAGGATCGAAGCAGTCTTCTTTTCTCATCAACGAGGTGGCCCACACTGAGCCTTCGATTTCGCTACGAAATATTCCAGGGGTGTAGAGAGCGAAAGTGAGAGTAACCCCTGGTATCGAGGATGAAGGTCAGATGCCTTAACCACTTGGCCACCGCGGCCCCTCGGTAACGATTGATACAAAGATTAAACAGGAATAAACAGACGTTAAGTATAAAACACAACTGTAGAGCATTAATAATTGTTAAACTATATACAGTGCCGTTTATATGGCTCTGATTGCTGGACCTTGATTAAATGTTACGATTCAACACCAACAGTTGTCAATCAAATGTGTACATCAGACATACCAGACATGGCGCGTGAAACAAATGTCATATCATTTCCGTTTCAA